AGTAGAGGATACTCTGGTTCTCCTGGTAGTATAGGATACTATGGTTCTCCTAGTAGTATAGGATACTCTGGTTCTCCTGGTAGTAGAGGATACCCTGGTTCTCCTAGTAGTATAGGATACTATGGTTCTCCTGGTAGTATAGGATACTCTGGTTCTCCTGGTAGTAGAGGATACCCTGGTTCTCCTGGTAGTATAGGATACTCTGGTTCTCCTGGTAGCATAGGATACCCTGGTTCTCCTGGTAGCTTAGGATACCCTGGTTCTCCTGGTAGTATAGGATACTCTGGTTCTCCTTGTAGTATAGGATACCCTGGTTCTCCTGGTAGCATAGGATACCATGGTAATTGCAGATCTTTCACTCCTAATCTCTATGTTTGCTGAACTGATTAGAAACCTACCCCAGCTCATACAGAACAGATTCTATAATAATCTATTCTGTTCTATTCTATTCTATCCTATCCTATCCTATTCTATTCAATTCTATTCTATTCTTTCCATCCTATTCTATCCTATTCTATTATATTCTATTCTATTCTATTCTTTTCTATTCTATTCTATACTATTGTTTTCTATTCTATTCTATTCTATTTCACTCTATTCTATTCTAATCTATTCTATTCTATTATATTCTATTCTATTCTATTTATCCTATTCTATTCTATTCTATTTTATCCTATTCTATTCTATTCTATTCTATTCTATTCTATACTATTCTATACTATTCTATACTATTCTATACTATTCTATACTATTCTATACTATTCTATTCTATTCTATTCTATTCTATTCTATTCTATTCTATTCTATTCTATTCTATTCTATTCTATTCTATTCTATTCTATTCTATTCTATTCTATTCTATACTATTCTATACTATTCTATACTATTCTATACTATTCTATACTATTCTATTCTATTCTATTCTATTATATTCTATTCTATTCTATTCTATTCTATTCTATTCTATTCTATTCTATTCTATTCTATTTTATTCAATCATTTATGTATCACAGTATGAAGACCTAAGGTCTTGTTCTAATGTGTTTGTTAATAATTCAATTATGTTTTAGATATATGCATTCAAAATTTTACAAATACATTACAGATATGTACATGATCACACCAGTATAATAAAACTATTCTTCTCTTCTGCTATGGTGTCTACTGCTGTATTTTGTGTATTATATCTGTAGAATAGATACTCTTCCTATTTGTCTTTTATTTGGGAATATCCAGGTGTGTAAACTTACGGGAAATTTATTGGGTCGAGAACTACAGGGGGAGGGGGAAAGTCATGATATATACCATGGGAATACAGGGATACAGGGATACAGGGATACAGGGAAACAGGGAAACAGGGAAACAGGGATACAGGGATACAGGGATACAGGTATACTGGGATACAGGAATACAGGGGTACAGGGATACAGGGACACAGGATACAGAGATACAGGGATACAGGATACAGGGATGCATGGATACAGGGATACAGGGATACAGGGATACAGGGATACATACAGGGATACAGGGATACAGGGATACAGGAATACAGGGATACAGGGATACAGGGATACAAGGAATCAAGGGATACAGTGATTCAGGGATACAGGGATACAGGGATACAGGGATACAGGGATTCAGGGATACAGGGATACAGGGATACAGGGATACAGGGATACTGGGATACAGGGATCAAAGGATACAGGTTCATGAGCTATGATCTGACATACAAACAGAGAAACAGAGAATATTACTTTTAAGATATAAACTACTTAATATTCGCATTTATAATAAGTTTTAAGTGTTTTATTTTCTAATTTTTAGTAAATGAATAAAATCCCATATTTTGTTCGTGTTTATTTTCTATTTTTAGTATTTTCTTCGTGTTTATGATCCATTAATACTGAAAGTACTGACTACTGAGTGTTTAAAGACGTCTAATCAATCATGTTCAAATTTGATGGTATTTAGGATAACTTATATCTAACTAATGGCTGAAAACTGAAAAGAGAGCAATCTAGTTAATTTGTTGCCAAACTTTCTTCAAGTTATTCTCAAGAAAATGTGAGAGCATTTCTTTAAGGACGTTCCTTAGGCTGATTTATCTACTCCAAACTTAATCCACACTCCTTCCCCTGTACTCAGTTCATCTTATCCTACCTTCCCCTGTACTCAGTTTATCATATCCTACCTTCCCCCGTACTCAGTTTATCTTATCCTACCTTCCCCTGTACTCAGTTCATCTTATCCTACCTTCCCCTGTACTCAGTTCATCTTATCCTACCTTCCCCTGTACTCAAATTATCTTATCCTACCTTCCCCCGTACTCAGTTTATCTTATCCTACCTTCCCCTGTGCTCAGTTCATCTAATCTTACCTTCCCCTGTACTCAGTTCATCTAATCTTACCTTCCCCTTTGCTCAGTTCATCTTATCCTACCTTCCCCTGTACTCAGTTCATCTAATCTTACCTTCCCCTGTGCTCAGTTCATCTAATCCTACCTTCCCTTGTACTCAGTTCATCTAATCCTACCTTCCCCTGTACTCAGTTCATCTAATCTTACTTTCCCCTGTACTCAGTTCATCTTATCCTACCTTCCCCTGTACTCAGTTCATCTAATCCTACCTTCCCCTGTACTCAGTTCATCTAATGCTACCTTCCCCTGTACTCAGTTCATCTAATCATACCTTCCCCTGTACTCAGTTCATCTAATCTTACCTTCCCCTGTACTCAGTTCATCTAATCATACCTTCCCCTGTACTCAGTTCATCTTATCCTACCTTCCCTTGTACTCAGTTCATCTAATTTTACCTTTCCCCTGTACTCAGTTCATCTAATCTTACCTTCCCCTGTACTCAGTTCATCTTATCCTACCTTCTGCTGTACTCAGTTTATCTAATCGTACCTTCCCCTGTACTCAGTTCATCTTATCCTACCTTCCCCAATACTCAGTTCATCTAATCTTACCTTCCCCTGTACTCAGTTCATGTTATCCTACCTTCCCCTGTACTCAGTTTATATAATCCTACCTTCCCATGTACTCAGTTTATCTAATCTTACTTTCCCCTGTACTCAGTTCATCTAATCTTACATTCCCCTGTACTCAGTTCATCTTATCCTACCTTCCCCTGTACTCAGTTTATCTAATCATACCTTCCCCTGTACTCAGTTCATCTTATCCTACCTTCCCTTGTACTCAGTTTATCTTATCCTACCTTCCCCTGTATTCAGCTCATCCAATCCTACCTTCCCCTGTACTCAGTTCATCTTCTCCTACCTTCCCCTGCACTCAGTTTATCTTATCCTATCTTCCCCTGTACTCAGTTCATCTTATCCTACCTTCCCCTGTCCTCAGTTTATCTAATCTTACCTTCCCCTGTCCTCAGTTTATCTTATCCTACCTTCCCCTGTCCTCAGTTTATCTAATCCTACCTTCCCCTGTACTCAGTTTATCTAATCTTATCTTCCCCTGTACTCAGTTCATCTTATCCTACCTTCCCCTGTCCTCAGTTTAGCTATTCTTACCTTCCCTTGTCCTCGTTTATCTTATCCTACCTTCCACTGTCCTCAGTTTATCTAATCCTACCTTCCCCTGTACTCAGTTCATCTAATTTTACCTTTCCCCTGTACTCAGTTCATCTAATCTTACCTTTCCCTGTACTCAGTTCATCTAATCTTACATTCCCCTGTACTCAGTTCATCTAATCTTACCTTTCCCTGTACTCAGTTCATCTAATCTTACATTCCCCTGTACTCAGTTCATCTAATCAATCTTACCTTCCCCTGTACTCAGTTCATCTAATCCTACCTTCCCCTGTACTCAGTTCATCTTATCTTACCTTCCCCTGTACTCAATTCATCTAATCTTACCTTTCCCTGTACTCAGTTCATCTAATAATATCTTCCTTTTTTTATTAAAAATTTTTTTTACATTGTTGTTAAATATTTAAGAAAATAAGAAAAGATGAAAATGCTCCACTGGTCCAAATTACAATATATACATTTATTGCTCGCGTAACATGTGGATTCAACATTTTAAGAATAAAAATAAAGTGCGTCAACTTTAATTGCGTAAATTTGAATGGAAGATTAAGTTAATTATAGAAGACAACTTTTCTCTCCTCTGACACATATTTTAGTTAATAAAAATAAAGTGCGTCAACTTTAATTGCGTAAATTTGAATGGAAAATTAAGGTAATTATAGAAGACAACTTTTCTCTCCTCTGACACATATTTTAGTTAATAAAAATAAAGTGCGTCAACTTTAATTGCGTAAATTTGAATGGAAAATTAAGGTAATTATAGAAGACAACTTTTCTCTCCTCTGGCACAAATTTTAGTTAATAAAAAAATCAAGAAATAAAATGATAATTATTCAACAAACTTTTAAAAATTAAGATAATTTTACCAAATTATACATGATATATGTATATGAAGGAATTATATTTATTCAAGGCTGTGGCTGGAAAAATGTTTCTCGGAGAAGAATTTCTCATGGGTCAGAGTTTTCTGCTAGATTCCCCTTGGGACTAATAGTAATAGATTTATACAACAATTTGACAGATACGGTTTGAGGTTGGATATAGTTTTTCAGAACTAGAAAAGAAGAGAAAAACGAACGAGGAAATTTTGTAGAGTGAATCGAGTAGTAGGGTAGAAGACTAATTTCTGACTTGCACACTTCTAACCTAGGACAAGGTATAGGAATTATCAGAAATAAGCACCTAACACTTGGCGATGCTATTTAGATGACTTTTTCTCGCATTTTTACTATTCTGGGAACTCAGGGTTTGTGATAAAAGTAGACGCATCTCGATAAGGTGTTTGCAATCTTATGAACAATATTGAAATTTACTGCAAATTGATTCGAATGAACGGTCAACAGACAGACAATTTAAAAACACAACTATATATCGATAAATAAAGAATTCATGCTCTGATCGTAAATAACCTTTTAATTAAATAAAAATACATGTTCGAGAAAAGATTAACATCATTTATTATAAAATTGATAAATAATATAGAAAATGTAGTATACAGGTTTAGCGAAACTATTTTACATGAAAATTTATTAGATGAGAATACTGGCTAGAGATTAAAAATAGAAAACGCTGGTAGGAAGCAAGGAATTAGATGTCGGCTTCAATCAGTACAAATTACATTACATACAATTACGAGAACAAGTTCAAATATTTTTGACCAGATTTAAGATCTTATAATGAAGATAAAGGAATATTTTTCGCAATATTTTTCCGGAATTTGTAAGAAGTATTTCTGTAATGCATTGGGGTTGTAGACGATTTCCAGCGACCGGCAATTGCAACATTTTCTAAAGGTTCCCCGGAGTCTAAGAGCCCTGTAACACCCGCAATTTTCAACGACTTTTCTGTAAAACGCTCTACAATAGTTGCAGGAACATTATACTCTACAAGAAGCTGTTTGGTATATTTGGTCGCATTGCTTTGGGAAAGCATAACTTCAGTAAGAGGGGTAACTTTACCATTTTTATTTTGAATGCGAAAATTTACAAACTTCTTTTTAAAAGAACTGCCTTGGAAATTTAAGTTAAACTTTACAAAATAAAGATGAGTGATACGAACTGGACATAATATGGGATCATTCGAGGGAACTAATATAGAATTTGTACCTTGATAAAATTGATCGTTTTTAGATTTTCGAAAATTAACTTCTAGAAAATCGCCATGGTTAACAAAATCTTGATCTCTTAAATCGTGAAAGTCGTCAAACCGACAGAAAGTGAAGTAAATGAAAATTGCTCTGAACAAGGAGCGGAACTTAATCGGGTTAATATTATGTGGAGATTTCACGTAAGGAACTATTTCGTGTTGAATAATAGATTTGAAATGATCAATAGGACAAAGCAAGCCTTTCTTGACGGGGGCTTTTGTTTCACTTAATTTCCTTTTAAAACTATTCAATATAGCTTGCACCCTTTCTGTAAGAACTGAGCTTCTACCAGAAGGTTTGATCAGATTTTCTAATAAAACTAAACTAGGTATTAATTTACAGAAATATGAGAAAGTTCTTTTCTCGGAAAATGAAACTCCGATATAATCTATTACATTTTGTTCCCTTAAATTGGACAAACAATAATTATTCTCCAGACAAAAAGATTTAAAGTCGTTTACTACTTGTGAATAAGACTTAAGTGTAGATTTCGCTACTGCTGGAGTTAGCATAATATTTGCAGCGTCAATTAGCGAAGGATTTTTAATGATAAATTCATAAACATTCGGAAATAAGGTTATGTCAAGGCCAAATGGAATATCGAGCTTAGGAACAGCTAAGGTTTCTTGTGCCATTGAGATGGTCGAATTTGCCAAATTTGCATTGTCGACTAGCATCGGGTTTTCTGTAATGTGTAGCGGTGGAAACTGTTGATCCGCGCTGGCAGCTGTAAAAATAAAATAACTATTAATAAAATTAAGACGATTAAATTCTTGAATGAAATTCCTTAAACAAAAGAAATATTTATTAAAAATAAAAAATTTAAGGAGTATTTAACGCAAAGATCAAAATAAAAATAAAAGGTTTGCATTGTGTTTATGAAGGTATACTCAGGATAAACTAAAATCAAGAATGTAATTAGATAAAAAATTAAGTTCATAGAAAATAAATAACAAAATTAAGGCTTTAAGCTAACCTACGAATGTTAAGTTATCAGTGTTAGGCTTCGGCAGATTTCGTTCTATCAAATCAGTAGACACTAAATAAGAGATTTTTTGTAAGAAATAACATTTTGGAATTTGTTATGGCAACTCATATTGTTAGAGATTTCCATAGGAAGATTAGCTAAACTAAAATAACAGCACTATTCAAAAAGGGATTGTAAAGTTATTATTTCAGTTTCAATTAACTTGGGTACAAATTATATTTAACAATTAAAACTTGCATAATGTTCTTAAAATGCACGAATTTCAGTGGTAAAAGTATAAAATTTTCGGCAAATTTCTTCTAAAAATTTTTGGTCGAAGAATTTAAATTTTTTAATTTATAACTTAATTCTCAAAATGAAAAATGAAATAAAATAATTTATAACTTAATTCTCAAAATTAAAAATGAAATAAAATAAGATATGTTATCGAACCTAAATTGAGATTGATCATGTGAGAATTGTTTAGGGATATTGTTGATGGTATTGGCGAGGCTGGGATCCTTGGAGTCAAAAAGTCTTTAGTTTGAAACATAATTCTGCAAAAAAAAAAAAACGGATAATATAGATTTTACCAATGATACAGTACAATCAGATACAGTTAAAAGTCGATCACAATATTTTGATAACAATTTTGGTGAAATGTGCAAAGGGGGTAAAATTTATGAGAAATTTTAGCTAATTATTGAAATTATCTTGCGAAATTCCGGTAATAATCTTGAAGGCAATAAATGAGTGAGGTTTCCTGCTAAAAAGAGAATTTGCCTGATCTTGATTAAAGGTTGGAGTAAAAATAAAAAATTCTTTAATTTCTGGAAGGAATTTTCCTGTCGGGCACAAAAACGGCCAGAAGCTGGCTGCCGGCCAGTTTGGTACAAGTAGAATCATGGTAATATTAGAGTTTGACAAAACTTTCCGGATTACAGGAATAATATTATCTATAGGAGGGCAACAATAATAAGTCTCAGAGTTTCCCGCTACCTGGGGCATTGTGAATGACTGTTCCATTGAAAAAATTTAGGTGATTTGACAAGAACATAAGTTCCTTAAAGGCTAGACCATTCAGAGTTACATCGGTTTCCCAACCATTAGTAAAAACTGCTTTACCTAAAAGATGTTGTGTTTCTCTACACATATATACAAAAAGTTGCCGTGACTTTTGGAGAGGGCATTTATTTTCCCTAAAAGAGAAGCTAAATCTCTAGCTTTAAAACTAATATTTTGAGAAATGTTGTGCAAACAGTCTTTTAGCATGGAGCTGAGAAGATCTATTTTTTCTTTGGACGCATAATATTTCATTTCTACAGTGTCTGTGATCAATCCAAGGTAAGATAATCTTTGGACAGGAATGCTGGAAGTTTTTTCAGGCTGGATATTCCATCCGGCTAATTGTAGAACAAGTAAGGTTGCATTAAATTTATCTTGGCACTCAACTATGGATGTTCCAAGAACACGGCCGTCATCAATATATATGGTAAACCGTATTCCAAGAGATGTAAGAAATGTTTTACTGGTTTTAATAAATGAGTTACAATATTCACGGCGGGTTTGCACCCGTATGCCATAACGTTGATCTGATAGTATTCATTTACCCCGGACTCATTAGGAAGCTTAAACCCGAAATACTTTTTATAATCTGAATTAAGCTGGACATGGAAGAACTGGTTCTTAAGATCAAGAGTACACATAAAATCATTTTTATCAACTAACTGCTCTGCAACTGAGAGATCTTCAAGTTTACATTTTTCTTCTTTCATAAGAGGGTTTAGGTGACGGCTCATGTCTATGCAGGGCCTATGTTTTATTTTTCCAGTGACATTATCAATTTTTGTAACTAAATTCAGGGGGTTAACACAGAATGGTTTGAAAGTTACTTTTTCAACACTATTACTTAAAAGCCAGTCATTGACTTTTTCCCGAACTGCTCCAAGATTCTCTCTTGCGTTTTTGTTGTTATCTTCTTCATAAGAAGACGGCTTTGAAGTAAAATTTAATTTTAAACCTTGCTTCAAAATATTAAGATTGAAAACCTCTGCATTAAGAACACATTCCGAAAACTTAATTGAAGAAGGGTTGTGTATACTTAAGACTGTGTTTGTAGAAGGGAGAGAAAACCCTAACTCGGTGAAGTAGTTAGTCAAGGTCTTATGCCCGTTCCCATCCCAGACTATTGAAGTTAAAGGACCTGAAATTAGTACTTCAGAAATACTATTAAGGAAATTTGTTATCATTTAAAAAGGTATGAAAACTTCAGAGATAAGGAACTATTGGACAAGAAAAGAATTATAGGTCTATTGAGTTTCAAGTATTAGGATATGATTAAATAATATGTACGAGGCAAACAAAAAGCATAACTAGCCATATTCAGCTTAATCAATCTTAAAATATTAAAAAGGATTGAAAAATACATAGAAGTTGTGAAAACTACAAAGATAAGCGGCAATTGGAGGGAAAATAAGAACCAGAAAAGAATTAAACGCATACTAAGTTTAAAGTTTATGTGCAACAGATAGAGATAAATATCAATCAATCTTAAAAATTCTACAAAGAATTTACCCAAATTAGTTGTGTAGCATGTAACCTGCTAGACGAAGAGCTGCAAACTGGCACTGAGCATCTCCTTTCCAGTGACCTAGCTTATTACAGTCTTTGCAGTAGGAGTTCAGCTTCTCTTGTTCGATCATTTGCCTCTTCTTCTCGCGATCTGATGTGTAGGTTAGAGCGGGCATCGAAGTTGGTGTTGCTGGGTAAGAACTTGATGCGTTGTAAAACATACCCGGGAGCGGAAATGAAAGAGGGGGTGGGGGGGTTGAGAGATTCATATTCGGTGAAGAGTTTTGCATCTGAGGGAACTGGGGATAAATCATCTGGTTAGGGAATCCTCTAGGTTTCGGAACAAACATGTTGTAGAAGGGCTTGCGTCGATTTGGATCATAGAATGACTGCTTCTGAGCCTTTTCTGCCTTTAGTTCATCTTTCTCGGATTGATCCTCTCTTTTCTTCCGGAGTTCCGATATCTTCTTGGATTGTTCAGGCGAGAGACCGGTAAAAGCATCCTGCTGTATGAACTCTTGAGCGATGGATGGCGAGTCTGAGAGTGCAATAAAGTGAACTTGGAATGCTGTGGTTATCTTGGAAGTTGAAGAATTAAGCTTCAATAAAAAATCAGCTTTCTGCTGTCCAGTTAGAGCTGCAAGGTCAGCGGAGGCCAAAAGCCTGTAAAGGTCTTCCATCTCAGTCTTGACATTTAGGAGATCAGAGGCGACGGATTTAGTAATTTTGCTCCAGGAGCTGTCTGCCGTTTGCTTGTGAAGTGATAGGTTTACAGCTGCTCTTTCTATGTTTAACTCAGCTTGGCTTGCGGTTTTGTAGTTAACTGGCATTGTGAGAAGATGCAGTAATTATGAACAAATACTTCAGATTCGGCCAGAAATGCTTAGTGGTCGCGTCGGCTCGGACTCTACAAATATGATAACTAACAAAAAAGCAAAGATAACCATAGACGATTAACAGGTGAAGAAAACTAATATAAAAGTTAATGAACTAATATAAAAGTTAAAGAACGATTAAATTAAGGGATATATATGGAACAGTGGTTTATTCAAAAGTTCTTAAGAGAATATATCTAATAAAAGTTAAAAATTGGATAAAACGTTAGGACAGAACAAAAAACTTGGAATTATAAAAGTCCAATCCAAAAAGAAAATATTTTGAAAACTTCTGCGGCAACAATAAACCGAGTAGATAAACTAAAATTTATTAAAGAATAATAAACAAGCAAACTTAAACTCTCAATCACTTACAGACACGGAAATTATGCACAAATGTTGTTCTTATCAGTTTAGGCACTATTGAACTAATTTTAAAAGCCCTAGAAACCAGCGATGTCGCNATACAGCAAATAAATACCAGAAAGGAATTACCCTTTTTTATGAAAGGAGAGACTAGATGCCATATTCCTCTCCAATTTTGGTCTATCTCTTTAACCCCCCGGCATCACAATACTAGCATTATCTTCTGCTAAGAGGGTAATTTGAAATAGTGATTTTAATCTGGGTCAAGAATTTGTTCTGGATCCCTTTTAAATCATTACTATAACTAGTTCCGAGTGTCAGAAATTGTTCTGATTACTCAGAAGCTACTTTGCAAGGTATCAGAAACATCTGTACCCTTGTTGATTTATCCTTCATGGTTGTTAATCTAAGTATTTGACTCAGAATTTGTTCTAGTTAGATTCTTAGAGAAGCAAAGTCATGAAGAATATGCAGACTCTAGCTAAAGAGAATCTGCAAAAGGGGATTATGAAACCCTCCCGGCTAAGGGGAGTGATTGAAGACCCTGGTGCCACCTCAACTCCAAGAACAGAAGGAGCTTTACCTAGGATAAATGAATCCACCATTGTACCAGAAGACTATGAAGAATCGGGTATTGGGAAAGGTATGGCTACTGCTCTGGGTCATAGAGGAAACAATTGCTCTGACATTGATTTTAAGAATGAAGTTGGCTCCAAACTAGCCCAAATCAAAATTGATATTGAGGGTGCTTTTGCTGAGGCAAATTGCAAGGTTACTAATGGAGAACCCAATTGGCTGGATGAGTTTGAAGATAAGCTGCCTAGATTAAACCAAGAGATAGATGATATTGAACAAGACTGCTTATTCAGACAAGTTGTGGAGTTTCATAAACAGGTTGTAGATCTCAGGAACTTTATAGACAAAGCGCACACAGATCTCAAAAAATTATTTGAAGAGAATTTTGCGAAATCATCACACTATCCAGGAACTGGTATTGCATCCAGTGAAGTTGAAGAAATTTCTCGAGATTATACAGAGGATCAGAATGATGACCCCACTGACCAAGAGGAAGATGATCAATTGATTGAAGAAGGTTCAACAGATCAAGAGCCCTCAGTCAAGTCTAAAATCACACAATTAGATTTTGAAGTACAAAATCTTAAAAGAGACCTAGGAACTTTCAAGGATCTAAAAACACTCCTGCTTGATGTTAAAAACAATTACACTATAATTGAACAAGCTAATGCTGAGCTACAAAATGAAGTATCTGATCTCCATGAGAGAATGAAGACCCAAGAAACCCTTTTGTCCATGCTCACTAACCAATTGAAAAGATCTACCCCTTCAGGTCCAAGCAAGCCTGCTGAAGCAAGTAATGTTAATACTCCAAGGAGATTTGATCTTGAAATGGACTCGGTTAGAAGATCTCTAAACCGACAAGAGTCCGTAATGAGCCCTGGAAATCATTATCTGGCATCTAAGAACACTGGAGTAACAAAGATGTACTCTTCTAGAATCAACAAGTACATAAAGGGAATTGACAACATCTGCAGTGATAATGAAATCACCACTGATATAGCCAACAAAACCATCATTGATTTCTATAATAATGTGCTACCAGATCTCATGAAACTTATTCAAGATTGTGAAACTGCACTTGCTGCATATATGAAAGCAGGAGGAAATGATATAGGGAAAGTTAATGAAGTTGAGCTAACAACTACAACTGGCCAATCCTGGATTGATCAGGTAAAGAATTTGTACCGATCAAGAGAGTTGCATCTCAGCTCGTCAGGAAAAAGTCTAGCAGAGTCTATTCCCAAGTTCAAGGCTGATGGTAAGATTACAATTTATGAGTTCCTTAAAAGTGTTGATGAGCACACTCAGAATGAGTACACTACTCTTGAAAAGGCTAAACTCCTGGTTGCTAAACTTGATGATAAAATTAAAATGGAAATATCTACTTGTGCTGATGATTATAGCAAAGTAAAGGCTTTCCTCATCAAGAAATATGGACAAGTTAGGGATATTGTCATTGCGAAGGTGAGTGTTATCAAGTCTGCCAAACACCCTGGTCAAATATCTTCAAATCAAATGGATTATTATAAGAAGGTATACATCACTCTTCAGCAAATTGCAAGTCTTCACCAAACTAGCCAGCTACCTGAGGGTAAACTGTTTGAGCATATCTATAAAACAGATTTTGTAATGGATATCATTGGAATCCTTCCAAAATATGTCAAAAGTAAATATTTAGAAAGCATGGTGAAATTTGATAAAGCATTCAGTGATCTTGAAGGTAAGGAAGCTTATGACCTTCTCTTGAAGATATGTAAAACTGAATGTTCAAAACTTGAATTGGAGCTGCAACTTCCGGCGTCAGATCAAAGGTATGATGAGAAGTCTCATCCCAAGGAAAAGAGATCATCTCCTAAGAAGATTCAAACTAATGCAATTGATTCTACTATAAAACCCCCGAAGCAAAGAGAGAGATCTGATTCAGTCTCTAGCAGAAATTCCCAATCATCAAATACATCCAAGAAAGGTGATGGTAAAGTCCATAATGCTTCAGCTGAGACAAGAAAGCAAAGGCCTAAAGAAAAAGCCTCCAAGAATCCACCTAGAAATGTTTGGTATGATACATCATTGAAATTCCCATGCCCAATTGGTAGCCATATTGATAACCCACATGAGATTGGAACTTGTCAAGAATTCTTTGCAATGTCTGCCAAAGCTAAGAAAACTGATGGATATCAGAAACTTTGTTGGTCATGTATGGGACCCAGGGATAAATGTTACCCTAAGTGCTCCCAATACAAAAAGATGCCAAATTTGTTAATCTGTCCAGAGTACAAGGATGATGCTCAGAGCTTGAAAAAAACTCCATTCTGCATTTTAATGTGCTCAAATGATAATCATACTAAGCCAAACATTGAGGATCTACTTAATGAGCTTGCCAAGTGGTTCCCTGGTTTCCAGAAAAGCTCAAACATGAAAGGATCCCTAAAGCATCATGCCCTATTGGTAGCTGTGACCCAAGCATGTACATGTGGGAGTGACAAGACAACATGTAGTTGCTCTGCCCCTGCTTCTCTTACTAGAGAACCTAAAGATTCAGATCCCATACCATGCTTCAATACTCAAACAGGAGAAATAGTGGATGATATTCAAGATTGTGATATTATCAATGAAGTTGTTCAAGATTCACTGTATATAATGCAAATGCTGAAATTTGGCAATGAGGAATGTCTTACATTCTTTGATAGTGGAAGTAACCAGCACTTGATGAATGGAAGCCTTGCTGAAGACCTCAAACTAAAAGTGATATGTTCTGAAAACATGTCGATTGGGACTGTTGGTAAAAACAGAATCTGGACTAACTATGGGATTTACTCAATGATGCTTGGGCCAGACAGAGAAGGTGGATATCATGAAATGTATGTTCAAGGAATATCTGCTATTACTGACACTTTCTACAAATATAATCTCTCTACCATAAATAAGGAGATCAAACGGTCTGGTATATTGCCTAGAGAAACTATTCTTCCTGAGTATGTTGGTGGTTCAGAGGCCAAACTATTGGTAGGGATTAAAGATTCATCAATTTCTCCAGTTCTTGAATTCACTCTTCCCAATGGTCTTGGAATCTATAGAAGTGAGTTTACAGACATGTTTGGATCAAACAAATGTTATGGTGGACCACATCAGCTCTTTACTCAGGTAAACAAGAATGGACATGGATCCTTTAACTTCATTAGATGTCACCTTTCTGAAATGGTGGGTAGTTATCGGAGATCACTTTATTCCAGTCTCAGACTCCTGTTTGATGGAACTGAAGAAGAAGTTATTGATGAGAGACTATCGCTAGCAAGATGCAAACCTAGTAAAGTCTGTCATGCTATCACAGACAAAAATGATATTTTATCTCCTGAGTATGAAAGCACACCCTTATCAGATCAGGATTTTAAGGACCTAGAAGACAAAGTCACGGTGAACGACCTTGAACCCCTGAATATTGATTTTAAGAAGTTCAAAGATTGTGACCCTGAAGATTCTCAACCGGTTGATCCTACTGTATCCTGTTTAGAGTGCAATATAGATTTTGTCCCTTCTAACTGCAGGTCTTGCTTCAAGTCATTCATACCTCTGTCCAAAAGTAAAGGATTAATAGATGAGGAGGACATAGATGATGTTGTTGATTACAGATGTCCCACTTGCTCCAAATGTCAGGAGTGTCAGGAATCAAATAAGTTGAAAACCATGAGTCTTCAGGAGAAGAGAGAACAAGACATTATTGAGAAAAGTGTTCAGGTAGACTTGGATGCAGGAAAGGTCTTTGTTGATCTACCTTTTATAGAAGATCCTATCAAATATCTAACCAAAAGACATAAAGGATCAGACAACTATTATCAAGCTTTAAAAGCATACAAATCCCAGTGCAAAAAATCTGAAGATGTGAAAAAAAATATTGCACTAGTTCAGAAAGACCTTGTAGATAGAGGCTTCATGGTAAAGCTTGAGAGCCTCCCAGAGAAAACACAAGATCTTATAAGAAAGGCTGGTTTTAGGCACTACTATACTTGGAAGAGTGTTGAGAAAGATTCAGTCTCCACCCCTGTACGTCTTGTGGTAGACCCTACAATTACTGGGCTTAATTTGATTCTTGCAAAAGGAGA